TAATCAATTCTTTTCAGTCAAGAAATTCACTAATATTTCTCAATAAACATCATAATTCATTTCTTTTTATATCTTATTTATCATCTTAGTTTTAATTTATATATCTAAATATGAATTGTTAAATAATAAGTAAATCTGTAAATGTCTAATACATTTTAATTAAAAAATTATTTATTTTAAAATTTAAAATACGTAAAAGAATGCAGAAAAAAATGTTTAGATTCAACCTGTGGTTTAAACTCAAGAAAAGAAAGAAATGACATTCTATAGAAACACCTATCCAATCAAAACTGTGCTACAATTTCATTATCTATACAGGATCGGCATGATAATTTCCATACATCGCCCCTGGCCTCTATGAATCTGCTTGAACTCCCATTTTCAGAAGGATTTCATAGCCAAATTAATTAGCCACACCTCAGGAATATAGATTTGATTTGATTAAAAGCATGATCCACTAGTACAAAAAGTTAATTTATGTCGGTTATTTTAAGTTTTTTACGTTAGAAAAAGGTCTGACGTAAATGCGGGAGACGTAAATTTACGTCTATTGTGATAGCCGACGTAAATTTACGTCGGACATTATAAGAGCCGACGTAAAAGAATTGTAAACAAAAAAAATATATATAACGCGTGCAAGCAGAATGGGCCGTTCTGCTTGGAGATCCACCCAAACGCGAAGAAGAGGATAATATTAACTAATATATTAATATATTAGTATATACATTTATTTTCAACATATAAGCTAATATATTAAGAAAAGATTTTCCAAACTAACCTCAAACGCGAGCCCAATACAATCGGTCAAAAACTCAATAATCACCCAAATGCGCAAATATACACTCAGATGCAATACACTCAAACGAAATCTTAACTCAGAAGACTCGAATTACATGTACACTCAAAACTCTTTTGTTTAAATATTGACGCGCGCGCGAAGAAATTTAAAATATGTAGATATTTTACATCGAACCTCGTAGGGACTGACTAAATTGAAAAATCTACGTCGGACACAAGCTATATCCGACGTGAATTTTCTTTTTTACGTCGACTCTTATGAGATTCGACATAAAAAACTTAATTATAATTATAAAAATGCCACCACATTTTTTTAACGTCAAATTTTTCTTTGTCCGATAAAAATACAGTGACGTAAATTACTTTTTTCTACTAGTGATCATATCACTTAACCTGACTTTCAACCATATTAACCAAATCTCAGGGATATATATCTTTTCGAAAGCATGAATATCACTAAAATGAATTATAAAAGATATTATAAAAATGAAATAACTAGCTATAATCCCTAGCATCAAAGGGCCTAATGAATGTGACCTTAATTTACATGCAGTCTATCATCAAGTACTATAGTAATAGGTCCATTGACCCAAAGAAACTACTTCATAATTCATAGTTTATTGGGCTTCCTCTCAAATTCAAGTCACAAATCTGACGGTGTGGAATCATGAAAATGATTCATAGCCTCCGTAATTTTTTTTTTATAAGAGCTTTTTTTAAAAAAAAAAAAAGATTTAATTGCACAATTTCTCTCTCATAATATATATAAGTAAATTTTTATTTTTTTGAATATAACATTGGCTTATAGAAATAACTTGTTTTCTGCTGCTTTAGACTCTAACGATGTTTAACAATGCTCATAAAAAGTAAGAGAAGCCCAATAAACTGTTGATTTTATGTCTTAAAATGTCAAATGACTTGAAACTCCGTAGGGAATTTGATCTGGACAGGAACTTGTAGTAAGTAGGGGCTAATTGGATAATCATAACTCATAACTCAAGAGATCAATGGATAAACTATGAAACAAAAAGTAAGATAAAATTTATATAAAGTATTATAAACATTGTTAATATTGTTCACCATGAGAATTAAAATTTCATTATAGTAATATACATAACAAATAATCGTATTAAAATCAATATATATTATTAAAATAAAACTTCAATTTAGATTAAAGAATAACACCAACGATAACTCTATTAGTGTATTAAGTTTTGTTCTTAAAAAAAATAGCTAGGATAATCTCAAGTATGTACTTTTAAACCTTATATATTCATTATTTATAAACTTTTTCTTTTAGAAGATTTGGCAATCTCTGTCATACCCCACCCTATTTTTCTTTTAATTTTTTAATAAATTGGTCAACTCTAAGACCAACACTATTCATTCAATTCCTCCAATCGATGCAATGCATTCTTAAACAAGACCAACACTGTTCATTCACTTTTGGCGGTGATACTGTTTATTTTTATATATATTGAAAGGGGCTAAAAGCCCAAGAAACAACACACTAAGTTCACTTGCCACCAAAACGGTCCACCAGGGCTCAAAACTACTCACACTGTCACACTTCGGCTTATTGGGTCTGGTCCATTTTAAAATAAAATTTTAATGAACCAAAAAGATTGACCTATCAATCTAACTAATTTTTTTACAAAAAAATTTCAATCTAAAATAAATTCTAATTTAAAATAAATTCCAATATAAATTAATATCATGTATATAACATTGAACTTAATTTAAAAAATGTATAATTTTAAATAATCAAAACAAAAAATAATTTATTAGAGTGATTGTCCATTAATATTCAATTTCATTGAAAATTTGAGAAGATAAATTTATAATAATTTTATATTGTTTAACATTGACTTTATTGTTATTTAAAAAAGTTATATATTATCAAATAATACATATGTAATAAAAAATAGTTAACTGGATTGTTGGTAAATTGAATTAATTGGAAATGTAAGTGGGTTAGGTGGACAGTCCGATCCATCATGAGTTCAACCTAAGTGGTTGAAAGTGAGTTGGGTTGGACTTTTTTATCCATTATGAAAATTTTCATCTTTTTCACCTGAAAGAACCTTTTTTCAAGGTAGGTCGAGTTGATCTACGAGCCAAAATTCCTTTGACAACTTTTCTCACATAGCGTGGAGAAGATAAAAAAAAATTACATTATTCATTTAATCCCTTTTATTTATTTTTTGATTTCAATTTAATTTCATTTTTTAAGTGAGTCAATTTAGTCTCACTTTTATTTAATTAATATTAATGTTTTTTATTAAGATAAGTTAAACGATGTTACGAGACATGTCAACGCGAAAGACCATCTCATCTCCCTTACATGGAAAAGTTCTTTTCCACCATTAGATTATTTCATTTTTTACCATAGATTATTATTATTTCTTTTTAATTTATTTTATTTTACTCTTTCTCTATTTTGACCTTTTTTATTATTTTTCTTAGTCTTTATTCCTTTACTCCTCTTCAACTCCACCATTAGATTATTTCACTTTTTACCAGAGATTGTTATTAAATTTTATTTTATTTTATTTTATTTTAATCTTTCTCTATTTTGACCTTTTTATTATTATTATTTTTCTTAGTCTTTATTCCTTTACTCCTCTTCAACATTCACCGAGGAGAGTCGTGATGTGTTGTGGAGCCAATAATAATAAAAATATAAAAATATAATATAAATAATAAAAATAATTTTTTTATAATATAAATTATTTATTATAAATTTAAAATATAAATTTATATATTTTAAAATATCTATTTAAAAAATTAAATATAATTTATATATTTAAACATAGTATTAATTTATATATAATTTATCATAAATTTTAATTATCTATAATAAACATGTATGTGTATTATACAAATTAAAATATTAGTTTATATTAATTTTGAAGATAATAATGCTTTATTTTTATTAATTTATCAAGATTTATTACATTTATACACCATATAGTCTTCACAGATTTAACTCTTTCAAAATAAAGAGATAAAGTTTAAAAATAAAGTGGACTATAATTATTAATTAAAAATTAATTATTGATATAATAATTAATTTAAATTTTATTATATTAATTTGATTTTACAATTCTTTCGTTAACTTTGAATCCATATATAT